CACAGAAAAATAGGTTGTTAAATAGAATTATCCTCAGATGCTACTTATGAGATCAAATAGGAATATAGGAACTTTACTCCACCAGATTACACACTTCCCAAACTTGGTGCCTTATCCAACGTGTTGGACTATAACCCCCATCACCTACCAACCAGACTCATACCACATACACAAATACAAAGAGCATCCGTCCCCCAATCCCAAACTTCGTTAAGCTTCATGTGGGATGATAACATCTTAGAATAATTTTCATGATTCCCCCCCCCCTTTTTTTCCCCTCTTGTACTTTTTTCTTCTGCAGCATATGCTATCTGGTGTTTCCACTGTCTTAGATCACTTCCAAAGGGGAATTGCTCTCTGAAAAATGAATTATGCTGGGCAGGTGAAGAAGCAGGCTGCTACACACTGAAACTCTACCTTTGTAAGTGTGCAAGAAGAGGTACCATTTCAATAAATGCAGCGAGACTGCAGATTATATCTGTCAGCTGGAGTTGTCTTCCTCCTCACTCAAAGCCAAGCCTTTCTGCAACTTTTTACTGAAATATTTATTTTGGGGCAATACAGCAGTAAGCATGATACAGGACTACTGTTATGAAGATCTTATTATACAGAGAGATGATCGTGAATTCAGCTTCCTGAATTAGCATGAAACATGGCACCAGTGGGTTAAGGAAAAAATGATGAAGACTTTTTTAAGAGTATGGAAGCTTTATGTGGACTTTTTGGTGAAAGAAGAAAAGACTGAACTGATGATTCATAGATTCGGGGTTTAAAAAAGGGTCAAAGAGGAAGGAGAAAGAATAAGAGGGCAATTGATAGAAAGAAAGGCAGAAGTCATAATTCTGTTTTCTTTCTTTTTTCATTTCTTTTCTTTTTCTTATTTTCAATACTCTATTTTCTTATTGTTCTTTTAATTCCTTATACTTTTATTGTATTGGAAAATTCTAATAAAATATTTTTTTAAAAAAGAAAAGAAACATGGCATCAAAGGTTTGGTATTTATGCCAAACATCATGTTGGCCATTTTGATTTCAGACTCTGGAGTAACAAAAAAGATTCACAGCTAACATCATAGAAAAGGACCAGATACTTAAGAGTATGACCTGAAAAGTTTTTTTTCCCCTTCTCTTTCCAGCAAAAACTATGATCAGTTCTGAAGCTGGATGCATGCAGGAATGTGACGATTACAGAACCTACAGTTCTAAGATTTGGCATGAGATTATTTGCTGCTTCACAGATTATTGCAATCCATAAACTAGAGTGTGGAAAGGAATGGGCTTAGAGCAAGAGAAAGCTCAGTATCAAGATAATCTGAAAGACACTGTGTTTCTTTTGGTCTTCTGGTCTTGGCATTTTGCAGAAGATTCGGCTACAGACATCCAGATGACCACCAGAGGGGAGCAATAAGATATGAAAATTCCAACTCTTTCCTGTCATCTAGTCAGTGGTCTGCATTTTCACAACCCAAGTATAGTATACTTATAGTTTCCAATCTTAACCACAATGAGAAACTTCTTCCTTCCTTTCTTTCTTACACCTTGATAAAATAATGAGATTTTCAGGGGACAACCTAAAGGAACTGTCTGGGTGTTCTTCCAGAAACACAGTGTAACTGCATCCTCATGACTTGATCACATAGATCCTTTTACAAGAACAGTCAACTTTCTTTCTCTCTTTCTCTGGGGTTACAGAAATGTGATTTCAAGATAGATATAGATCCTGCTACATAGTTTCACTCACAGTGATTCTCTTTGTTTGGTAGGTCTTATCTTGGGGCTCCTTGCTTCACTTCTGAGAGTCTTGACCTGGGCTCTCCTGGAAACCACATAACTTCAACAGCCAACACTGTCTAGATCCATCTTGGTTTGCCAGCCATTATATCCCTATCTCTCCTCCTTTCAACAGTTCTTTTTTCCAGAATGTGTGTGTGTGTGTGTGTGTGTGTTTAAATTTCCACCTTATTTGCCAGCTGATTGGTAGCCCTCCTTTCTCCTATGGGAAAATTCTTTCTATAGAAAAGTTGTATCATCTTTTCTACTTTTTAGGGTTCTGCTATCAACCACAAAGAACAGAAGGTCTCTTTGTGTGTCTGAGTGTAAATGCAACAGAATGCTACAGTGCTTTGGACAACAGGAAGCTACCACAATGACCCAAATGTGTGGAATTATTAATTTGATTGCTAATTTGTCTAGCAATATGTCATTTTGATTAAAACCAAACTTTGTCTGAACCAACAAAATTCCGTATACTTATCTCTGTGTGTGAATTTTTCATAAAGAAAGCAATCATGGGAGGCAAAAACTGATTCTCAATTTAAAATAAACGATTTCACTCAAAGTAGTTTATATAGCCTGCTTTCTCATATTATTTTCACAACAGATTTGGTTCACAATCATGCGAACTCATGGTTTATTTAATTATATTTCATTCAAACCACAATTGATTGAGTCCACATGTAATGTGAAGCATAAACTGTGGTTTATAATATGGATAGTGCTAGGTTCACACAACTGTTAAGTCAAAATCAATCAAATCACATTCCAGTTTAATATGATGTCAATCCATGAGTTGGTAGGCTGGAGATTGTGACATCTTTATACCCTATAATTCCATAGTATTTAATGGGATTTATTCCTTAGTGTCTTTTCTATTGGAAAATGTGCAACTGAGAAAAGTACAAAGGCATGCAACTTTCTCACAATTGTCCCAAATCTGGGGCAAAATATGCAGTCTAAAACTACTAGATTCCACCAATGAGTTAGAACCTTTTGAATCATTAGCAGTTGCTCAGATCGTTACAACCCAGATAGGTATCATTGCTTAACTCTGGACAGCATTAGAGTTCCCTTGTACTGTGGACTTCCTGGGGCAGGAGAAAAAGTAGTTCTCTGAGTAGCAAGAAGGATGTAAATCAACTAAATAAACAATCCATGAGAACCTAGCTTACCTTGTGTATTAGTGTGAACCCAACAGGACAAACAGCAGTTTGAAATTATTTCACTCATTTAGAAATACTTTTTCTGAATTTGTCTTTCTTGGAGGAAAATATGATAGGAACTGGCATTATTGAATTATTTAATTTATCCCTCCCCAAAACCAAACAATTATACATACTGTATGAAGATCATCTGAAGATTTTAAAAGCCAGGGTTTGTTCAATAAGTCAAGAATCTATGTTTGTACATAATACCAAGCCATAACTGAAAGACCACACCTCCCACTAAGGAAACAAAATACACAGGCCTCAATTTTTGCTTCTCTAATCATCCCAATGTTGTGTCTCATGCAGTTATAGGGAAAGTCAGATGTCTGTGTTTATACATCATTTTAAATCACAATATGTTTAATCATGGCTTGTTGATTAGCTGGCTGGCTTCACACATTACACTGAACCATAAAATATGGTTCACAAGCAGAATGGCTGGGTTCACATAAACTAATTCAGAACCAAATAAATGATGTTATTGTTCAATGCAAGGTGGGAATCCAACTAATTGTGAAAAAAAAAAATTAAACAGTTGCCTCAGTTTGTATCTTTCTCTGCAGTTCTGTAACCATCAGTACAGGCTGTGCTTGCCTGAAACTTCCTCTTAAAGTAATAAGCTAGGTTTGTACAACAAGTCAACTATAATGCAGCTTAGTGCAGAGGTGTTTCAATTCTGCCAACTTGAAGGTCACACTGAACTTTCTGCTCCATATTGAAGTTGTGTTCTAAATGTTGGTGGGGAGAAGACCCCAGAAGGATGCTGGTAGGCTACATGCATCCTGTGGGCCACACTTTTTGTACCCCAGGCTTAGGGTAGACTCTATTGTGGTTTGTTAATCCTAGATTGTAGCTTAATATAGGCAGGCCCAGCCAATTGTAATTAATTCAATAAATCATGATTAAACTTGTTTCCCTGCTCTACAGAATGTTCTTCACAATGCTCATGCTTTTCAGATATCATATGTTGGATTATAACTTCCAATATCCAACCTACCAAGGCTACCTGAACCTGCAAGTTGAGGTGGTGGGAGTTGTAGAACAGTAAGACTGGAGAATACCAGCTTGAAGGAAGTTGGTTTATAACCCCCACCCCCACAATTTGGGAGAGATTTCAGTTGAAGTGGGTTGATTTCCTTTAAGGCTGAAATTTTACTCTAGTTGCAAGGCTTAATTGATTGGCCTAAGGCAACATTGACCACCTGCTTTCTTTTTATAAAGGTTATCTCTTCAGAGTAGATTTTGGTGCTACTTTCTGAGTCTTTGGTGAGTTACTTGCATGAAACTCTCATGTTATGCTGATCTGAACTAAAAAATATTGAGAAAAACTTATATATATCAAGAACTTGTTTGTGCTTGGTCTCAACAAATTTGCAATTTAGTTTGCTTTTTTGTTTTTTCAGCTGAAAACAGCACCTAAAAGAGCTTTTGAAGACCATCTAGTTAGACTTGGGTTTTCCATCTAAAAATTATAGTGAAAAGGAAAAAGGGACCATGAGAGAGAACCTTCGTGGGGAAGTTAACCTGGATACCATCTTTTATTTCAGTAGTCTGTGTCAGGGATCTAAGAGAGACTTTTAGGCAGAGCTCTGTAATCCAGGTATTTGAACTTTGGTAGCATTTCTTTTCAAACTACTCATTTTAGATAATCTCTTTTAAAATATATTGTATTAACAAGTGAGAGCATGTTGTTTCTAAGGAAATGAATTTTAGAATGTTACCTGTTTGTAAGTGAATGGTTTTATATTATCTTGTTCCTGAGTCTTGGCAACACTTGCACTCTTATGTATTCTGATTATTTTCAGGGAAGTAAAACCAGATATTTGGTGGCTGAAAACAACATACATTGCTTTTGCTCAACTCAAGCTGCAATTAAATTCCCAAAGAAGCAGGCCTATGATGTTGTTCCTTACAGATTTGATGCTAAAGTAATAGATGTGAGTAGTCTTTCTGCTGACTGTCCAGAATTTACACAGTCTCTTTTCTTTATCTTTTTAAGAGGATCTTTCTCGAAGCAATGGCCTTGGATGCCAGTTCTGTTACTGATGACAGTTTTCGCTCAGAAAAGCCTGTTTGTGTAATCTGGGGTAAGAAATGTTCCCTCCATATTTGATCTACTCTAGGTAAACCACAGGAGAGGGCGAGTTGGCCAAACCACTTTCTGATGTCCGCTTTTTCTATTCAGGATGTCAGCTCAACAGGGAGAGCCCGGAATACACATTTGATATGTCAGAAGAATGGTCCTGTGAGCAGCAATTAGCTCTAAGAACAGTAAGTGAATGGCTGGTCTTTTTTAAGGAGGAGGGACTCTGAGGGACCTGGGGGCCAAATGTTCCTTTGAACTTTACCATTCTCTTCTCCTCACACATACTTTCTTCCCACTGCTTCCCACATCAATGGTTTTCCCCTCCCCCTGTTGGTATCAATGTACAGTTGAATGCACAACATTGAAATAATGTTGGGGCTTATATTTGAAAAGCTTGGTTTCATAGAATTCAATTAAAGAAATCTCCACTTTGAATATTTTGAATACTGAATTATAGTTTGCTCCTCCAAAAGACTCTGGGGGAAAGGTTTCTAAATTTGTGAATCCCCAGAGAAATATAACAGATGTGAAACACTGTCAACTTTCTAAATCTTGTATAGGTATAGGGCATATTGTGTGCAATTTTCTTTAGATCCAGGGTCTCTAGATTTTATGGAATATTTATGGGGTACATGTAGACATACACTGGGGAAAACACATAGTGTCATAGAAATACTGTAAGTAAGTCTAAATTTTTCTTAACCATAACCAACTCCCCCAAAGAAGATGAATTTCCTTTACCCTTTCTTTTCATATCTAGTATTCAAACTGCTAGGTATATTTCTACCTTATTTACAAAATCCAGACATGTGGAACTGTATAAAAAGTCTTGCTAAGAGCTTATATTATGTACTAATGTTGTAGTGAAATGGTTTGTTGAGTAAGACCCGGATGCTAGATTCATATATTTTGTATCTATATACCACTAAAACTCATGTCTGTAACCTTCAACTGGGCAAAACAGTGCACCGTAGGGCAACAATTTTTAAATCAAGATACCTCAAATGGGCTAACTTGCAGAATGCATCCAAAATCTGGGACTCATAACTTCCATGCAATTGAAATTTGTGGCTGCTGCTGTGCCACTGCAGTCAGTCCAGGTCATATGATAGTCATGGGTGTATCCCTGACCTCTTTCCCACCTCACTCTGTCCCTTGTGCCAGTTGGCTGCTGGTAAGGCTGACAGGCAATCAGCAATTAGCTGCTTAGGAAATGAGGCTGAAAGTTAATCTTTTAACAGCTGTGGGAGTTGAGGGAAGGACGAGGAAGTGACTTGGACACCTGTTGGTGAGGTAGGGCTGGCTGGGGGGTGCTGGTGGTTGACAGATGAGTCCTGTTCCTCCCTCAAGGGAGGGTGCCCTTGGGACATGCCGGAATGGTGAGCCTGGGTGCAGTTTTCTTCATGTTCCATGGCTCCCTTTGTTCCACCTCCCCCCAGCAAAATGGCAGCCAGTTTCACTGGTCAGCTGAGGAGGTGGCTTAACCAGGGCTGTCATGAGTGGAGGGCAAATGGTGTAAGCCTATATTATATATGGAAAGGAAGATGGAGGAAGGAAGATTTGTGAGCAAAGTCAATGGGGAAGCTGGCAGCAAGTTGTAAATCGCTCACACTCCTGCTGCTTTTTTGCCCTTGGTCATTCTGTTTCTCTGTTTAGATAAGGAAATATCTCTGAAATGATGAC